TTTATCTGGAACTCTGCAGAGGTGGGATCCAAGAATCCAACAGGCCAGCTTGTGGGGAGTGGAGGGGCTCAGCTTCAGGAGCCAGAGTGCTCAGCCTCTGAGCCTGAGACCCAGCGGAGAGACCCAGCAGCAAGGAGCCCGGGCTGGGTCTCCAGGCCCGGCCTCTCGTCCCGACCTGCCTCTGGCCGCTGCCTCCTGTGACTTCACCTGCCTGATCTACATTCTCCTCCTGTGGGAAATCACTGTCCCCAGCGGTCAAATGATTCCAACAGTTTAAATGAGGAAAAACAGGACTCCTTCCGGGGCAAGTCCCCAGCCTTGCTGAGTTACTTTTAAAATGCTCATTAAAGCAATTTAATTAAACTAGAAAACAAAATCACTGGCCCAGACGCTTGAACTTCCCAGGAAGCAGCTCTCTCAAACTGTGTACGTTCTCTGATGGACAAACCCACTGGTAGGAATATGTCCAAAGAACTAATCCAAAAGAAAACACGTATGTAAGAAGTTGTTCACAGAAACACTAACAGTCTAACCAGCAAGAATATGGCCACCCAATACAATGGAGTCATTGTTACAACGATAACTGAATATTCTACCTTTATATATGAAAGGAAATATACTAAGGTTTAAAATTTTCAAATAGAAATGTCCACTTAATTTCTGCAAAACCATGTCTTTCTGAGTGACTTCACCCATGTTTTAAAAAATCTATGTGTGGGAGCCAGGGTGGGGATTTTTCTTGTTACTATTCTTCATTTTCTAGGTTTTCCTAAATAAATATGCATTACTTTTCTAATTTAAAAATTAATATAAGTATATATGCATTTATGAATTTAGGTTATGTAAGTATAAAGAGTTAAAACTTAATGTTTAGTGGCTTTTTTTTAATAAGGTAAAAAAATGCAATTTAAAATGAATTTGGAAATGTTGAACTAGGTTAATGATTTGTAACATTTTTTTTGGTGGGGCGCATGGACCCCTATTGATGCCGGGGTTCTTGTTTGCGGAGCCGAAGAATGAGCTTCACAAACAGTCAAGGTAGGAGAGCGAGGTACAAGCTTTTATTTAGAGATACAGTGAAAGGACAGAGCTCCCGGCTCACGCCAGGAGGGGACAAGAGAGTCCTTGGTGGTGCGTTTTCTAGCGGGTTTTATAGGCAGTTGAGGATTTTTCGAGAATATGAAAAAACTTAGGGGTGGGGACTTGTTAAGTGGTTCCTGAATATTAAAAATTAACTTAACTGTAAGGAATTTCCTGCCTTGATTTCTCTCTGGGACCCTGGAGCCTTGGTCTGGGAGCATATCAAAAGGCTGCCTGCCCAGCCCCCAAGGTGGGCTGAGGTATTGTCTACTTGCTAAAGAATCTTGCCTCTTGAACTTCCTGGGTGTTAAAATGCAATCTTATCTTCAAGATGGAATTCTTCCTGTCCTTTACTATGCCGTCTGCAGCTGGGTCTGCAGCTAAGTCAGTTGCTCACTTTGCAAAATCACCTCGTCAGATCTGAAGGAGGAAAGACAGCACAGAGGCCTGGGCCTTTTAGTATGCTAAAGTGAGTCTTACACATGATTACAAATGATTAGCATAATAAAACATGTGCTGCTCTTCTTTATCAGGGGAACGTTAACTGATCTCACTGAAGAATGATTTTAGAGCTGAATGTTTAACACAGTTTTAGCAGGGGGGTTTCCTCGCCTGTAGTTACATTGCTCTGACTGCAGATATTCCACCCTGCCCCCTCCGGAGGCCCTCACTCTATTCTGACTACATCCTCGGTCCCTGTCTCAGAAGCTGCTCAGGCTGAGAGTTGGGGTGGGAACTGATAAGGGCCTGGCGCTACCTGGTTGAGTTTTTTAAACCTACCAATAAGTTAAGACAAGTGTAAGGAAAAGATGTAACTGGGTTAGACGCCGTCCGGGACACAATGTGAACCTGCAGTACTCAGCCAGTGAGGGGGCAGGGCAGGGGCTCACGTGCCAGGGGATAAATCATTTGCCCCCACTGCCCCAGGGGTGCCCGCTCACCAGCCTCCCGGTCCTGCAAGACCGTCACTGAAGCCTCGCTCTGCTGTCCTCTTTGTCTCCGTGTCCACTTACTGGGTTTGGACCAGGGAGTGTGTTTCTCACAGGATTCATGTGAGAGAGTAAACCTCCTGGGGCTCAAGGCTGAAAGGGGTTCCCCGCCCTGCATAAGTTCTCTGTGAATCTGCTGAGACTGAATAAACACAAGGGTGTAAGATTCGGGAAGGGGGTCTTTATTTCTCACTGTCCAGTCTCTGTGCCCACTCATCTTTATCTCCCAGTGCTCGCGCCCCCGCTCGCTGTGCTGTGCTCCCCAGCTCTCTCCCCGTGTGTCCCGAAGTCCTCCGTTTCCCTGCTGCCAGTTCTGCTTGCCCCTCCCCCTCCCTGCAGGAGCAACTTCGCGGGTGGGTCCCTGCTGACCGGAGGGCGCCTGGATCCAACTACGGCCCCACGGCCACCGCCCCCTCCCCGAAGGTCCTGGTTCCCGGATTCTCAGTTGCTTCAGCCTCACTGGCAGAACTTGTGTCCATCCCGCTGGAAAAAGCTTTTCACTTGAACTGTTTTCACTGTGAGGGAGAAACCATGTTTCCCAGCGTCAGTGGTCCTCACAACTCTGCAACATTGTATCTTGAACTGTCTGAAGCACAGAGATAGGCAGGATGCAGCCCTTCACGGAAAAAGGAGGAAAAGCTAGTGAACTAGGGACCTGCCAGCAGGGGGCGGGGCTGACCCCGCCCAGCTCAAGGGCTCGGCCTCACCCGCCCGCGGTCATGCGCAGACCGGCCCCGCGCACGCCCCGCCCCCAAGCCGCCTTCCTCTTCCTGCCTCGCGCGCAGGTCCCCGCGGACGTGCAAGCGCCCAGCGCCAGGCACCAGAGGCCCAGAAGAGTGTGAGTCCCGCCGCCGCCGACCGTCCCCCACACGCGGTCCGGGGTCCCTCCGGCCTGTTCCCCGCCCACCACCGTGTTACGTCCGACGTCGCTGCGGACGCTCGCGCGCACCCCTCGCGGTTCCCAGTCCCCGTGAGGCCGGGCCCCGCCCCCGGCCTCTCTTCCACGCGCCTTTCCCGTCGTTTTCCTGCCTGAAGCCCTTCCCTGGCGTCTGGGGCCTCCCGCGCCGGGTGACCCTCCGCCACGGGCTCTGCGGTCCCCGAAGCGCTGCACCGGCCGCCCAGCTCCAGGACGAGGCCCACCGCGCCCGCCGGTCCCCTGCTGGCCCCTCCCGCCGCCCGTAACCGCCTCCCCGCGGCCCCGGGCCGGGCCCTCTGACCCCCAGGCCGCCCCTGGAGGCGCCTCCTCCCCGGACGGCGTAGCTGCAGGCGGACACCGGGGCTCGAGCCCCGGATTCCGCCGACGGTGACCGTGCTCTCCCGGGAGGCCGCGCCCCTGGGCTCGCGGGCAACGGCGCTGGGGCGAGGCCGGGCCGGCGCGCCGGGGACAGAAGCGGGACGAGTGCGGAGGCCGGGAGGCTGCGGGAGAGCAGGCGCAGGGAGAGGACGGGCGAGCCCGGGAAGGAGCAGGCGGCGGAGCCGGGGAGGCTTAGAGGCCAGCGGGTCCCCCGGGCGGAGGTGAGCCCCCGGGGAGGCAGGCCCTTGGGGGGCGTGGAGGCGCTCGGGGCGGGGGTCCGGGGAGGGTGCGCGCTGGGAGCCGTGGCCGCAGGGCGGCGTGGTGCTGGGCCCGAGAGGACCGGGGCGGCCCGGAGGGCGAAGGAGGGAGGCAGAGCCGCCGGGGTGCCGGAGAGGGGACGGGGGGCGCGTGACCGGGCGGAGGGCAGGGGAGTGACTGCGCTGGAGAGTGTAAGAGGCGGGCGGAGGGCGGGAATGCGGGGTGGGCGGGGTCCGAGTGGCAGGGGGCGGAGCAGGGGGGGAGAGGAGGCCCCGAAGGGAGAGACGGCCGGAGAGGGGACGGCACCTGAGTGAGCAGCAACCCAGCGGGAAAACACAAAATCAAAGAGAAAAAGAAATAGGGAGGTGGGTATACAAAGTGAGAGATGGAAACACAGCGTTAGAGAGGCAGGGGTGGAGGCTGGCAGGGCGATGGTGCTGAGGCTCTAAATCCAGATGATTGCTCAGTTATTCAGCTGTGATACATCGGTGGCTTTAAAAATACATCTAAAATTCGTTTCAGCGAGAGATGAGACTGAGAATTGCAAAACTTCTAATAGTCTTGGGCAATTTGTATTGTATGTCAGAGAATAGCTTACATTTGCAACTTCTTTTAGCCTGAGGGCAGTGACCTGACTTGGTCAGTGGTGGGTCACCCCCTTCCGTTTTCCTGGTGTGGGTTAGAGGTTGGGTAAGACAAGTGTGGACGAAACGACTGTCACTATACGGTGCTGTGTTTAAGGGTACAGGAAAATTACTGTTTTGTTTTTTAGTTTCTTTATAATGGAAGTTTGTATATGTATATATATATGGGATATATAGACACTTAACATTTAATTCAAAATTAACGTTGTAGTTTGAGATAAATGTTAGGTCTTTCATTTTCTACTTAAAATTATAATTCTCAAAAAGTATTGGTGGCCTTTAATGAACTCATGTCATTCTTTTATCAGTATGATATATTCTGACATTTACTTTTGACATCAAAATAACTTAGACTTGAAAAACTTAGACATCATTTCCTTTTTAAACTTGTTTGTGGTTTAAGTCAGGCCTGCAGGCTTTGTCCCCTGTATCTTCTGTCTTGGACGTGTTCTTTGGTGACCCGTTAATAATTTTAGACTGTTTTATTGGTAGTTGGTAGGGATGTCAGTGATGCTAACAGTCAAAGACTAATTTAACCAGTTTTGTAGTACTCAGTTTTCTTCCCTTTTAGTGATTTATTAACATAGTGAGTTGTGACCTCAGAGTAGTTGTTCCCCTCTGGTCTCTCCCATCTTTTTTCTGCAGTGTTGAAGATGTGCCAGATTGACTTGGAAGCTTTGTGCAACCGAGTGCAACTATGTCTGGTGCAGCAATATTCTCAAAACAAAACCGCACCCATGTGTAAAGCTGACATGAAAAGGAAACACGCTCAGAACTTCTACAATTTACTTGTTCAGTGTTGTGCACATCTGTAGTCGCTTTTTCACAATTCTGCATTTTAAAAACATTTCACAATGACTTTCTGGACAGGAATTAAGTGTTGGTATCAGGGTGAGAACCTGGATGTGTAATGCTGACTCGTGGATGTTACTTTGGTCGCAGCCACAAATGGTGGTATGTGCATCCGAAGCACACAGAGGAGCCCCGCACACAAGCACAGGCCTACCATGCACTCCATTCTCCCATCTTTAAAAGCAGACGTTATCGCACAAACTGCAGCAGTGGGGATACTGGCTGTCCCCACACCCCTCTTTGGGTCACAGACCTGGCCTTGATCACACCCCATGGAGGCCTGACATCCCTCCCTGCAGACACCCCCACCCTCAGGAGAGGAGGCTCAGCGCCCTGGTGCTCACTGCTGCACACAGATGACGTACATTAAGGCTGGTCCCGTCTCACCTCCTGGAAGGAGAACCTCTGGTCAGGTGACACTCTATAAAGGTTTTCACGCCTGTAGTAACACGTAACTCCATTTCCAGGAAATAATTGTAAAATATTTTTAAAATACAGAATTACAAAAACATAGCTATACATGTGCAAAATATTGAAAGAGAGTCAGGTGTAAGCTCTGAGCAGATTTCTTTTTAATTTCACCTTTATTGATATGTAGGTTTTTGGTGCAGAGTGTGCGAGGGCTTCCCAGGAAGGCAGGATCTGAAGAGATGGTGGAGGAACTCACTGGGTGGCCTATGGAGGTTACTGTCCGCGAGTCCCTCCTGAGCAGTGGGCAGCAGGGGACCGTCCTTTCCACACCGGGAGGTCCCCCGTGTGGTTGTGGTAAAGGAAGGGAATGCGATGATGACTCTAAGCATTAAACGGCATGTTTTCCACATTCAGGATTGGCTTCTAAGACTCACGTTCCCTGAGGCCAAAGTCCAGAAAAAGAGGAGGAGGACAGCAGAGAAGGAGCCGGGAATGGCTGTTCCTCAGGTAAAGTCCCTACCCTTCGGGTGACCTTCTGTCTGTCCTTCCTGAGGGGCCCTTCCTGGGTCTCTCTGAGCCCTGACCCTGACTGTGTGACCCCTGGTCACTGCACTCGCCCCTCAGCACCTCTCATCCCCACTTCGGTTCCATGTCAGCTGACCCAGTGACATAGGTCTTGTGCGGGGGCTCCCTGGGCATCGTCCTGGGCAGGTCTTCCCACCGTGTGTGGGAACGGGGCGTCGGGGTGGGTGGGCAGCAGGGATGCGTCCAGGGCTGCGCCTGGATGCACCGTCAGCTCTCTGTAGCCCGTATGAAAGAGGCTGCAGGGGGAAGCCATGTACTAATGTTCATAAATATGTGGTAAGTTGTGGGAAAGGAGACCAAAGAGGGGCAATCTTTTCTGCCTGATTTTGAATATATTTGAAGCTGGACACGTGAGTCACTGGCTCAAAATCTTAATGATTGGGAAACACCATCAGAGACAGAGGGTGTGGGATTCTATCATGCATTTCAAACTATGGCGTCCACCTTTCCAGCACGGATGGCTCCTGGTCATGTGCGTGGTAATGACCTGGCTGGGACTTCCGGTACTTCAGCACTTTGCACGGCACTCCGGGCCGGGTGCATCCTGGCCGCTCCCCGGGCTTGAAGGGGAGCTTCCAGTCTCAGCACTGCGTGTGCCGTTCTATCTGTGCCTTTCATATAGGGTCCTTGCGTGTGCTATTCCTGGTTCCTTCAGTGTTTATCCTCAGAGTTTGTCAAATGTCAACTTTTTTCCCATTAACTGAGATGATTGTGTGTTTCACATTAAGATTGAGTGGTTTTGTATGTTGAATATTCCTAGCTGTACAGAAATAATTCCACCTGTGGTCTGTACTGATTTGAATGTGCTGTTGAGTTTCATTTGCTCGTATGTTAAGGATTTTTGCATTGATGTTCTTCAGGAATATCGGTCTCTACTTTTCTTCCTGGGTCTTTTTCTGGGTTTGGTATCAGAATCATGCGATTCCATAGAAGTAAGTGTTTCTGAAGATTTATATTAGGATTCGTGTTTATTCTTCTGTAATTATTTGGTAGGCTCCTGGGGAAGCCTTCTGGTCCTGGGTGTGTGTTGTAGGTTTCTGAGGACTGCTTGACTTTCTCTTGTAACTGTTCACATTTTCTTTATTACTTGGTGATGCGGTCTGCGAGGTTGTATGTTTCTCTGAATGTTCCCGTAGTTTTTAGGATGTGTAATTTCTTGGCATATAATTGTTCATAGTACTTTCTTGTAGACCATTTTCAACATTTCTGGGACACCTGTTGCAGTGTCCCCCTTTCGTTTCTGATTTTACTTGAGGGCCTGTTCTCTCTGTGTCTCTCAGCCTAGCTAAATGTTTGTCGATTTCTAAATGAGAAAACCTGTTGTTGGTCTCTTGATTTTTAGGTCTTCCTATTCTGTTTCATTTCTCCGTGCTCTGATCTTACTCCTTCTGCTAAATTTTGGTGGTTTGTTATTTTTTTGATTTCTTGAGGTAAAAAATTCTATTTCTGATTGGAGACCACTCCTTTTCTGTAATATAAGATTTACTACTGCAGGCAGGCATCCTCCTCAGTGCTGCCGCCACTAGGTCCCCCGAGTTTGCTCTGCTGTATTTCCATTATTTCTGAAAATCCATGTGACTTCTTCGACCTTTTCATTGTTTAAACATGAAGTGTATTCCATATTTTGTGGAGTTGTGTGTTTTCCCTCTGCTACTTGTTTCTAGCTTCACTGTGGATAGAGAAGATACATAGTATTACTTGAATCTTCCGAAATTTCTGGTTTGTTTTGTGTCACAACATGTGGCCTGTCCTGCAGAATGTCCCGCGTGCGCTTGCATAGAAGGTGGCCTGCGGCTGCGGGGGGGGTGTCCTTCCCGGCTGTCGGCCCCGTCGGGCTCCACCCGTGTGAGTCCTCGGGCTCCTCCTTGCCCGTCTGGCTGGTTGTTCTGTCCATGTTAACACTGGGGTGTTGGCCCTCATACTGTGTCTGCGATGCTGTCTGTCTCTCCGTCCCTTCCTTCCGTGTTTGCCTCATCGCTGTGAGAGTGCGGGCATGTTCGTAATGGCTGCGTCTTCCCGGGAATGCTCCCTCTTGCCGTTCTACTGCCCTTTGTCTCTTGGGACATCTCCCGTCTGGCCTCTTTCCTGTGCCCTGATAACGGCTGCTGCTGCTGTCTGGAGCGTCCCTGTGGCATCGAGGATCTTTCCCTCCTTCCTTTTGAGCCTCTCCCTGCCCTGAGATTCGTGTGTGTGTAGTTTGCCTGGACGGGGGTGAATGGCAGGAGCCCTGGGCAGTGCCCTTTTCTCCACCATCATTTCAGAAGAAAAGCACCCAGTGTTGTAGTGATCATGGCGTGTGTTGAAATCTCTAGTGTAAAAGAAGTTTTTTCCCCCAATATCCTTTCTTCATGATTTTTCAATTATCCAATAGTTGCTTCTAGTGTTCATTTTTGTGGTCTTTTATTATCCTTAATGAACTGTAATGTAATGTGTAAAGCTGATAACTTACAAAGCTCGAATCATTATTAGTGTTGATTTTTTTCCTTGTACTTTCCTCTTGTCCTCCTATTGAATCATGTTGACAAACTGAAAATGAGTACCATGGATTTATTGTCATTGTCCCAAAGATGGTGAAATACATACACATAAAAATGATGATGAAAAAAAACAATCCAAAAATTTGTCAAGAGACACCTTTTCCCACGGCAGGTAATTGGTGTGTTTGTAGGTACATGTTACAAGTACATAGATGTGTAAGACCATTGTTGTTTTAAAAGACATCTATGGTAAGCAAGTTTATATTTTTAGGAATGGAAATTATATCTTCAGTATGTTCCTTGGCCTTCTACCTATTTCTGCCACTGTCCTGTTAATTATTTAAATGTACATTTTGCATGCGTATGTGTGCGTGTATAATTTCCTTTTCTGCAGTCCCATGTAGTTAACCTTGGCGTTATTTCCAGCGTCCTGGTGGAGGACCCTCTGTCCGGGTACTTTAGTGCTCTGCTACTTAGCGGTTGGATTCTTTCCGTTTAATTCTAAAGGTGGACCCCCTGAGTTCAGGCGCTTGCTGTGTTGTTTCTTAGCTGGTGGACCAGAGGCCAGTTCCTTACAGTGTCTGTGACACAGTTTTACCTCTGTAACATGAGATGGGCAGAGAACTTCCTCAGATGAACTATTAATGCTGGTAACGTGTTAGTATATGTAAAGCATTGAGTAGCGCCCAGCATGATGGAAGCGTTAAAGCCTTAAGCCACTGCTCTTGCTGTCCTCACAATGTTTAGTTTAGGTTCCTTCTTTTCTTTAAACGTCTCCTGCTTTACTTCGTCTGCATATGGGACGTCACTCATTATGTGGAACATGCCCTTACACTTCTCTGTAGAGCATCCAGTGCTTCATTTGTGTTTCTGTGTTCAGTGTGTGGTCCACCCGATTGAGAAGTGCACAGATTTAGAGCACATCGTGGCCTCTTATGGAAAAGCATAAGATAGTCATGTTAGAGGCACATAACTTACTCAGAATTCCTATATGCGCATCTGTCAGAACGTACAGTTCATCCACGTCTCCCCCAACACCTCTGTCTCCTCATTTCGTGTGAGGATCTCTCCTCATGCTCCTTCATGAACTGTTTTCATTTCAGGGATGGTTGACCTTCAGGGATGTGGCCGTCAGATCTCCCAGGAGGAGTGGGAATGCCTGGACCCTGCTCAGCGGGCCTTATACTGGGACGTGATGCAGGAGAACTACAGGAACCTGGTGTCCCTGGGTGAGGATGGCGTTCCTGCAGAAGTGGGGATGGGGTGTGTCTGCCTTTTCTCTGGTTTGCCCCCAAGGAACCCTCGCCGTGTGGTACTGAGGCCAAAGCCCCTTCAGTCAGACACGGAGAGCTTCGTGATGTGGCGTCTGCAGTTTCACTTTACTCCTTTTCCAGATGACACGGCTGAGATAAATCCGTGTAAAGCCCTGTGCTGTGCTTTCCAGTAGCCGCTGTCCTGTTTGCCGCCTCTCTGCTTTCCATTCAGCAGTTCTTGGAAGAGACCAGATGTCTCACCGTTGTGTTCCCTGTGCGTTCAGGAGGCAGGCGGTTGGAGGAGTTTGTGCAGGAGGTTTCTAGACGTATCTGAAGTGTCCTTCTCTCCTCACCTGAGCCCGGAGCTAGGATTCTAGAAATGCCACAGCACGTCCCATTCCTTTCCTCATAAACTGATTCATCCTGTGGCAAAGCCCATGGAAGGTGTGAACTTGGAAAATGAGGAAATTATCTGCTTGCCCAAACCCAGGGGCAGAAGAGGCAGAGGATCGGTATTCCTGCTGGACGAGGGGGAAGCGGAGATGAAGGACGCGTTCATGGCCCCCAGGCAGGTCCGAACCCCAGCAAGGAAAAGTCCGTGAGGTTTAAGGCTAGAGAACAATCGTTTTTACTTCGTGTTCTGCCCTCCAGACCTGCTGGACAGCAGACCTGCTTCCGGACCCAGTGTGTCTGGGGTCCTGCCCCACCCTGGGTTCCCCTGGGCTGGGGTTGATGGCCCACAGTTCTTGGGGAGGCATCTGGCGTGTTGAGGGTGAGGCAGTGCCCTGCACTTTGAAACTGGCCAGGAAGCCCTGATGGCCGCTGACTTGCCTTTCGGGTCATTCTTTGTGCTGACGAAGAGAGCAAGTTTGCGGGCAAGTATCTCAGTGGTCCCTTCTTGTAAGGTTCAGTCTTTCTTTTCTCTCCCCTTTCCCTTCAGTTCCAACTGACAGTTTTCCTTCTGGTGCAGCTTACTGAGGCCTGTAGTTCACACCCCTAGTGACCCAGCGGTACCTCGGCCCCCGCCTTAGTGCCCTCCTGCGCATGGGCCTCATGTTTCTGCAATACGCTAGGCTGAGGGTTTCCAAATCTTGATGTTGCTGTTTGCTTCAGAACTGTCTTCAGGTTATTTCCCTCATCACATTTAAGCACTAGCAGTTGGAGAAACCAACCTGTACTAAAACCCTTGGCTTGGAAATCTCCTCAGCTAAACATGCCATTTCAGTGCTTATAACCTCTGTCGTCTGCAGAACTCTGGAGCATGAACACGCGTCAGCCGGGTCCCTTGCCGCTGTGCAGCGAGGCTTGCCTTTTCTGCCTTGTACAATAAAGTACTTCTCACTTCCTTCCGTGAGTGCATCAGAGTGGCCTTTACCGGATTACCACCATTTGATCCATGATGAGATACATTCTGTCTAAGAAGAGGGCTGCTTTGCTTTCTCCACACCGCTCTCCTTTCCTCTCTGAGCCGTCTCCTGAATCACATTGACTTTGCCTTCGCCTTCGTAGGCCTCACCGGAAAGCATGCACCTCAAAACGTCCAGTCTTGGCCGATGCCCCCTTTTAAAGCCGCTTGCACATTTTCAGTATTTCTTAGAGCAGCACCCACTCCTCGGTACCAATTTCTGTCTTAGTTCATAATGTTACAGCAAAATACCGAAAACTGGGTGGCTTAGGACATTTGTCACATTTGTTTCTCACCATTCTGGGGATGGGAAATCCAAGATAGGGTGCCAGCAGGGTCAGAGGAGGATCCACCTCCTCCTGACTGGGGCTGCTGACTCCTCGTGTCTTCTCGGGGGACAGAGAGAGAGAGAGAGAGAGAGAGAGAGAGAGAGAGAGAGAGCGCGAGAGCGAGAGCGAGAGAGGGAGGGCTGGTGCTCCGCCCCCTCGCTGTGCGGGCACTGCTGCCATCTGTGGGACCTCCATCCTCACCCTCCTCACGTCCCAGATGGCCCACCTCCAGACTGGACGTTTGATCACAGCATGTGAATTTAGGGGGATCCACAGGTACTTCCTTAATTGCATATGCAAATTACATTTTTGGTTTTCAAGGAACTGCTCTACTGCTTCCCATTGCAGCTGCGTTTTACTTTTCTTTCCAGATTAAAGAATTGCTGTTTTTTGACATCCTTTTCTGTATTTCTTCCTGTTTTTTTAAAAATTTTTATATCATTAATCTACAATTACATGAAGAACATTATGTTTACTAGGCTCCCCGCTTCACGAAGTCCCCCCCACATACCCCTTCACAGTCACTGTCCATCTGCGTAGTAAGATGCTGTAGAATCACTACTTGTCTTCTCTGTGTCGCGCAGCCCCCCCACAACACTATACATGCTAACTGCAATGCCCCCTTTCTTTAAGAATTCCTATTTTTTGACATCCTTCTCAGTATTTCTTAACTGTTTTTTTATTTAAAATAGTGACCATCCTCATACGTGTGAAATGAGAGGTTTCCTTGTGGCTATAGCACTTAGATTGCTCTGCTGGCTGGTGATACTGAACGTCCTCTCCTATGTAGGTTTGCCGTCTGTAAGTCCTGCATAGAGAAATGTCTATAGGTCCTTTGTCTTCTAATTAGAATCACTGTGGTTCGTTTTGATTGAGCTGTAGGAGTCTGTGGTGTTGTGATTTATAATCAGAAATATGTATTTGGTGCCCATCACCTTTTCCGCTCAAAACTCCTAAAATCCTGTTCACTTCCTGAATGATGACGCCATTGGGAGCGTCTCTTGTTGATGTGATTGGTCTCTTGTCCTCAGTTGCTGAGATTCTTCCCGTTGTGAAGGTGAAATGGGTGTCTTAGTCACAACAAGCCGCTCAGACACGTCTGAGTTTGGGAATGAGGTGCATTTTTGGAAATCTCCTAAGTATGGTGGGCTGCTTGCCAGGGAAGCCCACCCTGTGGGTACAGGGGTCCTCTGGTCCCACCCCCTGACTTCCCGGGAAGAGAGAGAGGGGCTGGACCTTGAGTCCAGTCAACGGCCAACGATTTAATTCGTTACGCCTATACACTGAAGCCCCCATAAAGACCCAGACGGACCCTTTGGAGAGATTGTGCATCGATGCGCGCCTGGAGGTCGGGGAGCGGGCTGCGCGGGGAGAGGTTGCGGGTGCCCCACAGCCTTTGCCCCTCTTCTGCCCTATGTGTCTCTTTCATCTGGCCTTTCTGGACTTCCCCGAGGGACTGGTAATTCAGTAAGTAAAACGTTCTGTGAATTCTGAGAAATAATTGAACCAAAGGAAAGAGGTTCATTTCAACCTCTGCTGTACAGCTATTTGGTCAGAAGTCCAGGAGTGACACTTAGATGTCATTGAAATTGGAAGGTGACCTGGGTCCGGGGCAGCCGTTTACGACTAAGCCTTTGCCTAACTTTTCGTATCTGACACTGTCTCCAGATAGTGTCCAAATTGAGCTGAATTGTAGGACACCCAGGGGGTTCCAGAGCACTGCTTGTTGGTGTGGGAACCCCCCGCCGATGGTGGAGAGGCCAGACCGTTTCAGCATTCTTTATGTTTTCAATATTACCCCGCACATGATTTGTAACATTTTGCTCCCATCCCGTACATTACCCTTATTTAACTCTATTGATTGTGTCCTTTTACGGGCTACACTCTCTGATTTTGATGTAGTTCCACTTACATGGTTTTACTTTGTTGGCTGTGCTTTGTGTATTTGACAAATCTTTGCCGAGTCCAATGTCATGAAGCTTTTCCCATTTTCTTCAGGAATTTTATATTGTTAGCTCTTCAGTCTAGGAAGTTGATAACATTTTGAGTTAATTTTTGTATATGGTGTGAGGTGATACTATAGCTTCATCTTTTGCCTGTGGATATACATTGTTCACAGCACCTTTGTGGAATAGCCTGTTTTTCCCCCTTTGAGTGCCCTTCACAGCCTTGGGGGACGTCGATTTACCACACGTACAAGAGTGTGTTTCTGATGTGTCTGTTCCAGTGTCTCTGTATCTTGTCTTCATACTAGTGCCATGTTGTTTTGATACAGCTTTTTAATACATTTGGAATTAAGGAAGTATGAGAACTCCAACTTTGTTCTTTTCAAGGTTGTGTTTACTGTTCAGCGGCCCTTGAAATTTCATACAAATCGAGATGGGTGGATGTATTTCTTCAAAAGATGCTGTTGGGATTTTGCAGGGGTTGCACTGTATCTGTCAGTTTTTTAGGTAGTGTGATGTCTAGACAGTTTTGAGTCTTCCATCTGTGAACTTGGGATGTGTTTGTGTATTTGTGTCTCTAATTGCTTTCAGTCATGTTTTCAGTTTACAGTGTCCAGTCTACATCTTTTCAGTTTACAGGCTAAGGTTATGCCAAACTGTTTTGCCTTTTCAGTGCTATTGTAAATGGAATTATTTCTTCATTTCCTTTTGGATATATAGAAACAATTAATTTTTCCATGTTTATATCTTGAGCATTTTTTAACTCGTCCAATACTTTCTGCAGGTTTTGTTTTGTTTTTTTTTTGGTGTGGAATCTTCAGGGTTCTCTCTGTTTCTGTCATGTCAGCTGTGAACAGAGATAATTTGCTTCTCCTCTTTCTAGTTGGTTATCTTTTTTTTCTTTATCTTGATGGTTTCTTCTCGCTAGGACTTGTGGTACTGTTTTCTAGAAATAGGGCAGGCAGCACAGACAACACAAAGAAATAAAAGGCATCCACATTGGTAAAGAAGAAGTTAAACTGTCTCTGTTTGCAGATGACATGACATTGCACATAAAAAACCCTAAAGACTCCACTCCAAAACTACTAGATCTAGTATCTGAATTCAGCAAAAGACTCCACTCCAAAACTACTAGATCTAATATCTGAATTCAGCAAAGGTGCTGTTTGGTCTACCTGTCCTTTCTCCTGAGCAGTATGCTCTGTGCAATCCTTGCCCCTTTAGCAGCCCTCCTGCTAAAGGGTTCTTATTAGGAAGTCTATCAGACTGCCCGCCTTTCTTTTGTCCCAGAGCAGCCAGATATGGATCCCTGCTTTTCACAAGCAGCTGGAATCTCAGTCTATCCAGGAATTCTGCCTGTCTTAGCTTTCCAACCCCTTAATCACGAGAGAATCATGCAAGCACCATGAAATGTAGGTTTTTCCTCCCAGAGCAGATCTCCGGAGTTAGGTGTTCAGCAGTCCCAGGCCTCCACTCTCTCCCTGCTCCGTTTCTCTTCCTCCCGCCCGTGAGCTGGCGTGGGGGTACGGCTTGAATCCCACCGGGCCACAGTTTTGGTACATTACCCTGTTGTGTGAGGTCTGCTCTTTTCTCCAGGAGTATGCAGTCTGGCGCAGTCCTCTTTCTGTTGCTCTTTCAGGATTAGTTGTATTAATTATATTTTCGTATTATATGTGGTTTTAGGAGGAAGCCTCTGTCTCACCTCTTATGCCACCATCTTTAATCCAATTCATTCTTAAGAAAGTATTTCAGTAGGTCCAGGATTGAACCCTGTTTTTCTCACAGTGGTATGTTGACTGCAAGTTGGTATGTGATTTGTGGTCAGGGTGGATAAAACACCATTTCAGAGCTAAAATGTTTGCATAATGTGAGTGTTTCTCTCAGAGTGTTTGAATCTAGATTTTACTGTAAAGTTGAATTATGTGTGATCACTCTTTAGTGAATCATCCTGTCCTTTTAGTGTTCCCCAAAATTTGAATACCAAATTTTGTTTGGGATGTTTCAGAATCTGTTTAGTATATCACTTTTGGTGTAATATTATGCTTTGAGCATAAAACATTAATTTTCAAGGTAAGTAATGGGATACCTATGGTCCTTTATATCTTACAGATATTTCTTCTACCCATGTGATCAGGAATTTACAACCAAAGGAGGATGGCAATACAGGAATATTCCAGACAGCGAGGCTGGGGAGACATGTAGGCCATGGAGTCAAAGATTTGTACTTTACGGCAATGCAGGAAAATCCTCACGACATTGAGTGTCACTGGGAAGATGAAGAAAGAAATCACAAAGGCATGCCTATAATACATAAAAATCATCTCCCTATTAGAAGAGATCAACGTAGTAGATGGGATGAAGGAAAGACGCCTATTGACAATCCGCTTGCACTCAGCTGTCGCAATGAACTGTCTGTATTTCAAACTGAAGGGAAAATTCATGGCTGTAATAAAGTGAAGAAGTCTCTCAGCAGTATTCCCTCATTTTCTCCACTACAAAGAATCCCTCCTAGTGTCCAAAGCAACAATACTGAAAAATTTGGCAGTGATGTTGTGCATCCTTCAAAAGAGACACAAGAGCAGTCAGCCCACGAGGGAGCATCTTACCAATGTCTCGACTGCGGCAGGACCTTTACCAAAGACGCACACCTGACTGGACATCAGGTGATCCATCCTGGAGAGAAACCATGTAAGTGTGGGTGTGGCAGCGTCTTCAGTCAGAATTCAGACTTTGCAAGTAATAAGAGAATTCATACTGGTGAGAAACATTACAGATGCAATGAGTGGAACGAAGCCTTTAGTGTGCCTTCAAACCTAATGAACCATCAGGTGAGCCATGCTGGAGAGAAAGCTTCCAGATGTAATGGTTGCAAGGAAGCTTTTTCCCAAAGTTCCAAACTTGTAAAACATCAGAGAACTCATAGTGGGGAGAAACCACTCAGAAGTAATGAACGTAGTAAAGGTTTTATCCAAAGCTCAAGCCTGTCAGGCCTGGTTGACCATCAGACAAATCGTACTGGAGAAGAAACAAACAAATGTAATGAGGATGGCAAAGCTTTTATTGTGCATTCAGGTCTAACAAAACATCAGGTAATTCCTACCGGAAATAATCCATACCAACAGAATGAATGTGGTAATAGTTTTATCACACATTCACACCTTAGGATTCCTGAGAAATTTGATGTAAAGAAACCTTTCAAATGTAGTTTGTGTGGTAAAGCCTTTGCTCGTGCTTCATACCTCACTGCACATCAGAAAACCCATACTGGAGAAAAACCACATAAATGTGACACATGTGGGAAAGCCTTCCGTAAAAATTCATACCTTGCAAACCATCAGAGAATTCATAGTGGGGAGAAACCATACAAATGTAAGGAGTGTGGCAGAGCCTTTTGTTGGAGTTCAACCCTAACTAAGCATCAGGAAATCCATACTGGAGTAAGACGTTACAGATGTACGAAGTGTGACAAAGACTTCCGTCAAAGCTCACAACTTAAAAGTCACAGTAGAATCCATACTGGAGAGAAACCTTTCAAATGTAATGAGTGTGGCAAAGCCTTTACTCAAGGCTCACACCTTACCAATCATCAGGTAACCCATAGTGGAGAGAGACCTTACAAATGTAATGAGTGTGGCAGAACGTTTAGTTTGAGATCCACCCTAATTAAGCATCAGGTCGTCCATAGTGGAGAGAGACCTTACAAATGTAATGTGTGTGGCCGAGCCTTTAGTAGGAAATCAAGCCTAATCAACCATCACGTAATCCATACTGGAGAGAGAGCTTACAAATGTAACGAGTGTGGCCGAACCTTCACTCTGAGATCAGCCCTAACTGTGCATCAGGTAATCCATACTAGACAGAGACTTTACAAATGTACCCAGTGTGGCAGAACTTTCACTCTGAGATCAACCCTAAACAAGCATCTGGTCACCCATACTGGAGAGAGACCATACAAGTGTAATGAGTGTGGTATAGCCTTTCGTTTGAGATCAACCCTAACTATGCATCAGGTAATACACACTGGAGAGAGACCTTACAAATGCCCTGAGTGTCGCAAAGCCTTTTCTCAAGCTTCACATGTCACTACACATAAGGTAATCCATACTGGAGCAAAATCTTTCAAATGTAATGAGTGTGGCAAACTGTTCCGTCAGAAATCTCACCTTTCATGTCACTGGAGAATTCATACTGGAGAAAAACCTTACAAATGCCCTAAGTGTGGCAAAGCCTTTACTCAAGCCTCACACCTCACTGCTCATCAGATAACCCATAGTAGAGAGAACCTTACAAATGCCACTGAATATGACAAGTCTTTTAGTATTGCCTTAAAGTCAGGCTTCACCAAATAGTTAACATGGGGACGTTTCATCTTATTGTTCACTCTTCACTAGAAAGAATATCCAGCTGCTCACCTCTAGAGGGGGATGCCTGCACTCCCTATATGAGTGTTTAATTTGCTTTATTAAACTACCCATTGCTTCTATCTGCTTGACTTGGTGGTGAGGTTTTTTTCAGTAAGAGTTGCGAACAGTCCTGCATGTTTGAGGTGTTACCTAGCATTCAGGGAAGATTTCCCCAAATTGGATTGCCTGACTACCTTTTTTGTGACAAAGGGACTTTTAACATGATATTTTCTAGTGGTGTAGTCACATTAATCAATTGAGTAACATAATCTGGATAAAGAACAGGCCTGTGGAGCATAAATGAACCAAAATGTCATCTCTGATGGATAAAGAATATCAAGATTCAACATGGTCACCTAGACCCTGTTCTTGAGAGAACTCCAAATCAATCACCATATGTACCATGTCTAATCCCAGCCCATATTCAAAAGGCTGTATAAAAACCCCAGTCCCTAAGACATGTAAATACACATCTTTCTCCTCTGAGGTTGCATGCCTGAGTTAGTGTGTAGTTTGCATTTAAACAAGACCACCTTTGCTTGAAAAAAATACATGTCCTAGGGAAACAACAGAAATGTAATGCATGGTGTGAGGACTTGATCCACTGTTCACAAGTCGGTGGACACACTGTAGCAATACCTTACAAATGCAGTGAGTATGGCAAAGCCATTTCTTTGAGTTCAATAACTTCTGCAACAGGGAAACCATATAAATTTATGTGGCAGAGGCTTTGTGGAGGCCACAGCATTAGTAGATGTTATAACGTACATGATTGAGAGAAACCACAGAATATTCTACTTGCTCAGGGTTTTACCTAGAGATCAAAATGGGATCATCAGATTTGTATTTTAGAGGAAACCTTACAAATGCTGTGGATGGGGTAAGGCTTTTCCTCAAGTGTCCACATGTTTAGAGAAATGAAACAATTTGTGTCGGAGGGAAACCACACAGACACACAGGTCGTGGAACTGCGTTTAAGAGATCATGAATCAATTCAATTGATAGTGGAGAAAACACTTGCAAATACAATGAAGTTGGGGAATTTTAACCAGTTCTCACAACAATCTGTGTTTGAAGACCAGGGTGTGGACTGCTATGTGAGTCATATGAAATGCGCATTTGGCCACTCAGGAACAAATACCTATTTCCCAGGTATATTTGGTCTTCCTCCACAGTTCTAAATGGATGTCTTGTCATGTTAATGAGAGGATTTTGGACCCCACCCAGGAGTAGAGTGGAGGTTAAATCAGCCAAGAGCAAGTAAATTAGTCCGTCATTACTATTGATGTGAGCAGGTCAGGTAGTATGGATCCACAGGGTGGTGGAGTAATGAACCTAACACCATTAAAGTGGCATGAATCAGTTTATTTTGCAATTTGCTTTTCACACAACACTCAAGGGGGATCATGCATACCTCAAAAGCATGCATATCACATCTCATAGCACACAGTGGGTGGTTTGGATCCATGCTGTCCCAGTCAGCCTCTTCTCTTTCCCAAGGATAAGGCAATGCAATGGAGACACTTGCAGTGGAGTGGTGAATCAGACACAGCAGGAGTGTGAGTATATAAGCAGAAGCAAGCATCGCGCAAATATGTGGTACGGTGTCAGGGACCTGTGGGAGAAGCTGGCCAGAGGGACTCCGTACAATCCCCTGCATAGACCAGTCTATCCATGCAGGGGTCAGAGGTAAGGGGACAGTCCACCTGTGATATTACCCAGTTTGGGCATTGAATGGAGTGTCTGATACATAGAGTTACCTGGTTTGGGCGTTCACCAGCATACATTTTAGGGTGGGGTATGTTTACACAGGCACTCGGTGTGTGAAAGCAGGCAAGCCTGTGGGGGTAAAATTGCAGTATTTTCAGAATCTCTCACTTGACTCTAATGCATCTAATCAATAGGTGTTTCCAAGGCTTGAGAGAAGCCCATCTCCATGTCCATTGATGATTGCAGGTTTGGGAGTGTGAGGGCATACCTGAACTGGTCATTTTGGGTGGAGCCCCTTTTTGCAGCCAGGTCATGAGAGGTGAGCAGAAGTGGATGAATAGTACTTGTAAGTCATAAATGGGTGTCTCCCACTTTAATTCCCCCTTTGACTGCTTTTGAAGGCTTTAATGATAATTTTTCCCCAGCGGAGAACATATCCCTCCCTCCCCCTCCAAGGTACATATGTCAGCTTCCCCATGTAAACATGATTATATTTCAGTTGATTCATATTTGTGTATGGATGAGTTTTTCCACATGTAGAGATGTGAGAGAAACATACTTCATAGTAGATGGCATGATTGTGAAGAGTCTACTGAAACCCAGACCATCTAGTTTTACTTTCTTTGGGATTCATATAAGAGGATAATACCCCTTTCCCTAACTCAGAAATGTTATAAAGTTCATTATTTAGATGAGAAGAAATCCAAATGTGGTCTGGAGACTGTATTTTACAAGCTTTGTTATCCACACCTGACAGAACATTTAGAAATAGCAAAGAAAAAAAACCCTAAAATATTTTTTAATTAAAAAATACTTTCTCATTACTTTCAGAATGAAAGTGACTTGGAAATTATACTTAGAAATTACCGACAATATGATGCCCACAAAATGTATCTCAAAGGTGTTTGCATTTCATGAAACTATTGTGGAACAGAATAACAGTATAAAGAACATCACAATATGTACTCTTTAACAGTTTTTTTTTTTAAAGCAAGGGATGGTGGCCTAAGTCACAGCCGTTTGCCCTCCACGGCCTCCTCTCCAGGTCTCCCTAGTAAAGTGGAGAATGGGGAATAGGAGTGGAAATGAGGTTGGTGTGAAGTTCCCCGTTCCCCACAGGGAGCGTTTTGCATTTCACACCCTACATGGCCCTCCCACAGAAAAGTCAAAGGGAGTGGTTTAAGTAAATTTCTTAAGCACTGATGTCCAGATACCTTTCTTGATCTAACCACCGCCCACATCGACCCTCCACCCACCAGATCAGATCCTAGTTGCCAGATTCTGTTGTTTCCGACTCACTGGCAGGACTGGCGGGCATCCCGCTAAAAAAATGGCATTTACTTGAACCGTTTTCAACTGAAGAGGGAAACACCTTGTTTTCCAACATCAGTGGCCCTGTAACTTTAGCCTTTATCTTAAAACTCTGAAGCATGAAACTATGCGGTCCAACCCCCCCGGGGCCCGCGCCCCGCCCCGCCCCCGGGGGCCCGCACCCCGCCCCGCCCCCGGGGGCCCGCCCCGTCGGACCCGCCCCGCCCCCGGGGGCCCCCGCCCCGCCCCCTGACGGCCGCCCGCCTCTTGCGCGCGCGCTTTACGCACAGCCGGAGGCGGCTCTGGGGGAGCGGAGGTCGCGGTGTGGCGCCGGAATTTCGGCCTCTCGTCTCTTCGGTCTGTTCTGCGCTGTGGCTCCTGCACGCTGGATCCCGGGGGGTGCTGCGGGCCTCAGAATCCCCCCTCCGCGCCCCGCCTTGGTAACTCCTACGTCGCCTCGCGGTCCGGTGCGCTTCCCTTGCGGTCCGCGGTCCCGGGGAGGCTGGGCCCTGCCTGCCGCCGCTCTGCCTTCCGTCCACGTGGACGCGCCATTCGCGTCGTTTATCTGCCTAAAACCCTTGAGCAGCGTCTCCGGCCTCCGTAGGGCAGCGGCAGCCTTTCTGGGCCCGGGATTTTGGCGAGCCGTCCTCCCCGCGGCCCCGGGCCGGGCTCTCCGCTCCCCGGGCCGCCCCTACCGAGGCGCCTCCTCCCCGGACTGCGGTGCGGGAGGGGGACACCGGGGCTCGAGTCCCGGATTCCGCCGGCGGTGAACGTGCTCTCCCGGGAGGCCGCGCTCGGTGCCGCCGCGCCCCTGGGCTCGCGGGCGACGGCGCTGGGGCGAGGCCGGGCCGGCGCGCCGGGGACAGAAGCGGGACGAGTGCGGAGGCCGGGAGGCTGCGGGAGAGCAGGCGCAGGGAGAGGACGGGCGAGCCCGGGAAGGAGCAGGCGGCGGAGCCGGGGAGGCTTAGAGGCCAGCGGGTCCCCCGGGCGGAGGTGAGCCCCCGGGGAGGCAGGCCCTTGGGGGGCGTGGAGGCGCTCGGGGCGCGGGTCCGGGGAGGGTGCGCGCTGGGAGCCGTGGCCGCAGGGCGGCGTGGTGCTGGGCCCGAGAGGACCGGGGCGGCCCGGAGGGCGGAGGAGGGAGGCAGAGCCGCTGGGGTGCCGGAGAGGGGACGGGGGGCGCGTGACCGGGCGGAGGGCAGGGGAGTGACTGCGCTGGAGAGTGTAAGAGGCGGGCGGAGGGCGGGAATGCGGGGAGAGCGGGGACCGTGAGGAAGGCCGGGGAGAAGGGGCAGCGGGAGGGGGACCAGTTGCAGTGGGCGGAGCAGGGGGGAGAGGAGGCCCCGAAGGGAGAGACGGCCGGAGAGGGGACGGCACCTGAGTGAGCAGCAACCCAGCGGGAAAACACAAAATCAAAGAGAAAAAAATAGGGAGGTGGGTATACAAAGTGAGAGATGAAAACACAACATGGAAACTGGCGGGGATGAAGGGGATTGGGGGGTGAGTTTGGAGGGGAGGCGACATGGACACAGATGAGTAGTGAGTGATTACGTTCTGATATATCAATTGGTGGCTTTAAAAATGCATCTAAAATTTGTTTAAATGGTAGAGATGAGATTGAGAGTTGCCAAAGTAATAATAGGCTGGTGCATTTTATATTCATTGTATGTGTCTGAACATAGCTTCCATTTGTAACCTCATTTAGCCCGAGGACAGTTTCCTGACTTGGTCAGTGGTGGGCCACTGTTTATTCGTTTTCCTAGCTGGGGTAGATGGGCTAGAGGATCTGGAAGAGAACTGGGGTATGAAACGACTGTCACCACATGGTACCCTTTTTAAAGGTACATTAAAATGACTTTTCATTTTTATTTTTTGTAATAGAATTTTATAGAGATATATATACAGTTAATATGTAATTCATCATTCATTTTGTAGTTTGAGATAAATCTTCGCCCATTTAATTTCTACTTTCTTATAATTAACTTCTCAAATAAGTTTTGGTGACCTTTAATGAACTCATGTTATTCTTTTATCAATATGATACATTGTCACATTTTCCTTTGACCAGAATGACTTAGACTTGAAAAACATACATATCATTTCCTTTTTCAACTTGTTTGTGGTTTAAGTCAGGCCTGCAGGCTTTGTCCCCTGTATCTTCTGTCTTGGACGTGTTCTTTGGTACCAATTAATAATTTTAGACTGACTGGTAGTTGGTAGGGATGTCAGTGATGTTTTAAGAGTCAAAGACTAATTTAACCAGTTTTGTAGTACTCAGTTTTCTTCCCTTTTAGTGATTTATTAACATAGTGAGCTGTGACCTCAGAGTAGTTGTTCCCCTCTGGTCTCTCCCGTCTTTTTTCTGCCGTGTTGGAGATGTGCCGGATTGACTTGGAAGCTCTGTGGAACCGGGTGCAACTATGTCTGGTGCAGCAATATTCTAAAAACAAAACCAAAACTAAACCGCACCCTTCTGTGAAGCCGAAATGAAAAGGAAATATGCTCAGCACTCATTTCTACAACTTATTCGTTCAGTGTTGTGCTCACCTGTAGTCGCTTTTTCACAATTCTGCATTTTTAAAACATTTCACAATGACTTTCTGGAAAGGAATTAAGTGTTGGTATCAGGGTGAGAACCTGGATATATAATCCTGACTCGTGGATGTTACTTCGGTGGCATCCACAAATGGTGGTAAGTGCATCCGAAACACAAAGACAGACCTTGTACGCACTCTATTCTTCCATCTTTAAAGGCAAACGTTATCGCACACACTGCAGCAGTGGGGACCCTGGCTGTCCCCACACCCCTCTTTAGGTCACAGACCCTGCCTTGATCACACCCCATGGAGGCCTGACAGCCCTCCCTGCAGCCACCCCCAGCCTCAGGAGAGGAGGCTCAGCGCCCTGGTGCTCACTGCTGCACACAGATGACGTACATTAAGGCTGGTCCCTGTCTCACCTCCTGGAAGGAGAACCTCTGGTCAGGTGACACTCTATAAAGGTTTTCACGCCTGTTGTAACACGTAACTCCTTTTCCAGGAAATAATTGTAAAATATTTTAAAAATACAGAATTACAAAAACATAGCTATACATGTGCAAAATATTGAAAGAGAGTCAGTTGCAAGCTCTGAGCAGATTTCCTTTTAATTTCACCTTTATTGATACGTAGGTTTTTGGTGCAGAGTGTGGGAGGCCTTCCCAGGAAGGCAGGATCTGAAGAGATGGTGGAGGAACTCACTGGGTGGCCTAAGGAGGCTTCTGCCCGCGAGTCCCTCCTGAGCAGTGGGCAGCAGGGGACCGTCCTTTCCACACCGTGAAGTCCCCCCATGTGGTTGTGGCAAAGGAAGGGAATGTAATGACTAAGCATTAAACGGCATGTTTTCCACCTTCAGGATTGGCTTCTAAGAAAGACTCATGTTCCCTGAGGCCAAAGTCCGGAAAAAGAGGAGGAGGACGGCAGAGAAGGAGCCGGGAATGGCTGTTCCTCAGGTAAAGTCCCTACCCTTTGGGTGACCTGTCTGTCCTTCCTGAAGGGCCCTTCCTGGGTCTCCCTGAGCCCTGACCCTGACTGCGTGACCCCTGGTCACTGCACTCGCCCCTCAGCACCTCTCATCCCCACTTCGGTTCCATGTCAGCTGACCCAGTGACATGGGGCTTGTTCGGGGGCTCCCTGGGCATCGTCCTGGGCAGGGCTTCCCACCGTGTGTGGGGGACGGGGCGTCGGGGTGGGTGGGCAGCAGGGATGCGTCCGGGGCCATGCCTGGATTCACCGTCAGCTCTCTGTAGCCCGTATGAAAGAGGCTGCAGGGGGAAGCCACGTACTAATGTTCATAAATATGTGGTAAGTTGTGGGAAAGGAGAGCAAAAAGGGGCAATCTTTTCTGCCTGATTTTGAATATATTTGAAGCTGGACACGTGAGTCACTGGCTCAAAATCTTAATGATTGGGAAACACCATCAGAGACAGAGGGTGTGGGATTCTATCATGCATTTTAACCTATGGCGTCCACCTTTCCAGCACGGATGGCTCCTGTTCCGTGTGCGTGGTAATGACCTGGCTGGGACTTCCGGTACTTCAGCACTTTGCACGGCACTCCGGGCCGGGTGCATCCTGGGCCGCTCCCCGGGCTTGAAGGGGAGCTTCCAGTCTCCTGCGTGTGCCGTTCTGTGTGTGCCTTTCATATAGGGCCCTCCTTGCGTGTGCTATTCCTGGTTCCTTCAGTGTTTATCCTCAGAGTTTGTCAAATGTCAACTTTTTTCCCATTAACTGAGATGATTGTGTGTTTCTTTTCCCTTCCTTCCTATTAATGGAGTGCAGTAACATTGAGTAGTTTTGTATGTTGAATATTCTCAGTCGTGCAGGAATAATTCCACCTGTGGTCTCTACTGGTTTGAATGTGCTGTTGAGTTTCATTTGCTCGTATGTTAAGGATTTTTGCATCAATGTTCTTTAGGAATATTGGTCTCTACTTTTCTTCCTGTGTCTTTTTCTGGGTTTGGTATCAGAATCATGCGATTCCATATAAGTAAGTATTTCTGAAGATTTATAGCAGTATTCGTGTTTATTCTTCTATAAGTATTTGGTAGGCTCCTGGGGAAGCCTTCTGGTCCTGGGTGTGTGTTGGAGGTTTCTGAGGACTGCTTGACTCAATTTGTAACTGTCCACATTTTCTTTATTACTTGGTGATGCGGTCTGCGAGGTTGTATGTTTCTCTGAATGTACCCGTATTTTCTAGGATATGTAATTTCTTGGCATATAATTGTTCATAGTCCCTTCTTATAGACCTTTTTCAACATTTCTGTGACACCTGTTGCAGTGTCCCCCTTTCATTTCTGATTTTACTTGAGGGCTCATTTTCTCTCTCTCTCTCTCTCTCTCTCTCTCTCTCTCTCTCAGCCTAGCTAAATGTTTGTCAGTTTCTTAATCTTTCAAAAACCTGTTCTTGGTCTGTTGATTTTTATGTAATTTTCCTATTCTCTGTTTCATTTCTCCCTGCTCTAATCTTTTTTCTTCTACTAAATTTTGGTGCAGTTTGTTATTTTTCTGATTTCTTGAGGTATAAAATTCTATTTCCGATGGGAGACCACCCCTTTTCTGTAATGTAAGACTTACCACTGCAGGCAGGCATCCTCCTCAGTGCTGCCGCCACTACGTCCCCCGAGTTTGCTCTGCTGTTTCCATTTTTATCGTGATAGTTTTAAAAATCCATGTGATTTCTTGGACCTTTTTATTTAAACATGAGGTGTATTCCATATTTTGTGGAGTTGTCTGTTTTCCCTCTGCTACTTGTTTCTAGCTTCACTGTGGATAGAGAAGATACATAGTATTACTTGAATCTTCCAAAATTTCTGGTTTGTTTTGTATCACAACATGTGGCCTGTCCTGCAGAATGTCCCGCGTGCGCTTGCGTAGAAGGTGCCCTGCAGCTGCGGGGGGGTGTCCTTCCCGGCTGTTGGGCCCGTTGGGCTGTGGCGCCGTGTGAGTCCTCGGGCTCCTCCTTGCCCGTCTGGCTGGTTGTTCTGTCCATGTTAACACTGGGGTGTTGGCCCTCATACTGTGTCTGCGATGCTGTCTGTCTCTCCGTCCCTTCCTTCCGTGTTTGCCTCATCGCTGTGAGAGTGCGGGCATGTTCGTAATGGCTGCATCTTCCCGGGAATGCTCCCTCTTGCCGTTCTACTGCCCTTTGTCTCTTGGGACATCTCCCGTCTGGCCTCTTTCTTGTGCCCTGATACGGCTGCTGCTGCTGTCTGGAGCGTCCCGGTGGCATCGAGGATCTTTCCCTCCTTCCTTTTGAGCCTCTCCCTGTCCTGAGATTCGTGCGTCTGTGTAGTTTGCCCGGACAGGGGGGAATGGCAGGAGCCCTGGGCAGTGCCCTTTTCTCCACCATCATTTCAGAAGAAAAGCACCCAGTGTTGTAGTGATCATGGCGTCTGTTGAAATTTCTAGTTTAACAACAGGTTTTTTCCCCAATATCCTTTCTTCATGATTTTTCAATTATTCAGTAATTGTTTGTAGTGTTCATTTTTCTGGTCTTTTTTTATCTTAATGAGCTGTAATATAATGTGTAATATCATAACTTCCAAAGCTCAGGCATTATTAGTGCAGTAAACAGTCTATATGGCTTTGTTTAATGACTACATATTTAAATTTGAGTGGATAAAATTATATTTTTGTATATCGGTGCTTTATAGGAACCACAAGTGTTGTCGATTTTTTTCTTCCTTGTACTTTCCCATTAGCTTCCTTTTGAGTGATGTTGACAAACTAAAATAAGTACAATAGATATATTTTCATTGTCCCAAAGATGGTGAAATACATACACATTAAAATGATGGGAAAAACAATTTAAATGGATGTCCAGAGACACCTTTTCCCATGGCGGTTAATTGGTGTGTTTGTGGGTACGTGTTCAACTGCTTAGATGTGTAAGACCATTGTTGTAAAAGGCATTGCATGGTTAACAAGTTTATATTTGTAGCAGTGGAAATTATGTCTTCGGTGTATTCCTTGTCCTGGTATGTATTTCTTTCACTGTCCTGTTAATTATTTAAATGTACTTTGTGCATGTGTGTGTGCGCGCGTATAATTTCCTTTCATGCAGTCCCATGTAGTTACCCTTGAAGTTATTTCCAATTTTCTGGTAAAGGACCCTCTGTCCGTGCACTTTAGTGCTCTGTTACTTAGCTGTTTTATCATTTATGTTCAGTTGTAAAGCTGGACCCCCTGAGTTCAGGCGCTTGCTGTGTTGTTTCTTAGCTGGTGGACCAGAGGCCAGTTCCTTACATTGTCTGTGACACAGTTTTACCTCTGTAACATGAGATGGGCAGAGAACTTCCTCAGATGAACTATTATGCTGGTAACGTGTTAGTACATGTAAAGCATTGAGTAACTAACACCCAGCACGTTAGAAGTGTTAAAGCCTTTAAGCCACTGCTGTTATTATAATCACAATGTTTAGGTTCCTGCTTTTCTTTAAAATCTCTGTGGCCACTGTCATCTCTGAGGCCATGTCTTCTGCTCTACTTCGTCTACATATGGGACATCACTCATGAAGAACGTAGTATCTGACACTTAGATATAGGGCACCCAGCACTGAATTTGTATTTGTGTTTCATGTGTTGTCCCACAGATTGAGAAGTGCACAGATTTGGAGCACATCGCAGGGAGAAGCATAAGATATTAATGTTAGAGACACAACTCACTCAGAATCCCTTTATGCGGATCTGTCAGAACGTACAGTTCATCCGCATCTCCCCCGACAGCTCTGTCTCATTTCGTGTGAGGATCTCTCCTCATGCTCCTTCATCATATGTGTTTTCATTTCAGGGACAGGTGACCTTCAGGGATGTGGCCATAAAATTCTCCCAGGAGGAGTGGGAATGCCTGAACCCTGCTCAGCGGGCCTTGTACCAGGACGTGATGCAGGAGAACTACAGGAACCTGGTGTCCCTGGGTGAGGATGGCGTTCAGAAGTGAGGATTCAGTATCTCTGCCTTTTCTCTGGTTTGCCCCCAAGGAACCCTCGCCGTGTGCTACTGAGGCCAAAGCCCCTTCAGTCAGACATGGAGAGCTTCGTAATGTGGCGTCTGTATTTTCACTTTACTCCTTTTCCAGATGACACGGCTGAGATAAATCCGTGTAAAGCCCTGTGCTGTGCTTTCCAGTAGCCGCTTTCCTGTTTGCTGCCTCTCTGCTTTCCATTCAGCAGTTCTTGGAAGAGACCAGATGTCTCACTGTTGTGTTCCCTGTGCATTCAGGAGGCAGGCGGTTGGAGGAGTTTGTGCAGTAGGTTTCTAGACGTATCTGAAGTGTCCTTCTCTCCTCACCTGAGCCTGGAGCTAGGATTCTAGAAATGCCACAGCACGTCCCATTCCTTTCTTTATCCACCAGAATTTTCTCTTACTGGTCTGAATATTATCTGCACAGAAGATCCCTGAACAGCAGAGAGAGAAAATTGGAAAAAACCAAATGGGTGGGATCATATTAGGCTGTGAGCACAGGCGGGGCTCAGGAGGGCAGAGGAAGGCCCAGCACTCAGCGTGGGTCCCAGACCCCTGGGGGGAGGGTTCTGTGGAAGGACCGACATCGCTTCCTGGTGAGCCCTCAGGGGAACCTGTTCTGCCCAGCACATGGCTCTGAGGCCTCAGCGCGTGAAGGGTCCCCTCTCACCCCCCAGCAGTGTTGCGGCTCTGGCAGAGAGACGGCAAGGTCTTCGTATGATGTGTTACATGTCCTCAGAGTCCTGTCAAGTCCTTGGTCCTTGACCTTGCTGTTGCAGGCCAAGGGGATGGCGGATTCAAAGGGGTCCCCTTTCCCGTGGGTCTCTCCTGTGCTGGATTCCACTGAATGCCCAGCCATTTCTTAGCCCAGGCCTATTTGTCAGGGATCTGAGGCCTCCGGTGCCTGCCTCTTCTGGCTTCCAACTCCGTTAGCTGTACTTGGAAGCCTGGGGCAGGGGGCAGGAGGATGGATGGTGGCTGTGCTTCCATTCCTGTGGCGCCCTCATGTCCTGTCTGCCTGATCAGGGCCCTCAGCCGTTTCTGCTGCCCTTCCTTAGCCCAGCTCTGAAGAGTGTGCGACGGGGACGTGGGATGCAGCTGCGATTGTTTTGAGCACAACCATGAAGTCAGTGGACAGGGCGATTCTCTCTGGGATCCCCAGGCCACGTGCCGAGCAGATCTCTCTGTCAGGCTCTTAGCTCTCCCAGGTCCTGGTGACCGTGGGAGAGCTCCCAGTCCCATCACAGGTCCTAGTGACACTGGGGTTCTTGTTCACGACGTTGAAGAATCTACTTCACAAACACTTAAGGTGGGAGAGCCAGGGAGAGGTAAAGTGAGAGGACAGCTCCCAGCCCACACCAGGAGGGGACGAGAGAGCCCGTGGTTGTGCACTGTCTGGGGGTTTATAACATGATAAAGCGGTAGGGGCGTGGAGCTGTTAAGTGTTCCTAGATTGTTCATCCTTAAGGAGACATCAGTCTTCTAGATAGTTCTGCAAAGTTAACATAAGAAATTTACTGCACATTCCTTTCCCATAGCAACAGGTTTTTGGTCTAGGAGCATATCAGTCATCAGTTAATTCTGCCTGCCCTGCCCTGAAGGTGGGCTGAGTTATTGTCTGTTTGCAAAAGAGTTTAAACAGAAGTGTAAGATGGAATCTTTCTCTTTTATTATGTTGTTTATGGCTGGGCTTGCTTGCCATTATTAATTGCCCAGGTTGTGAATCACCTGATCATGTGTAAAGGATGAAAAAGTGCACATAGGCCTGGGCCTTATAGCATGCTCAAGTGAATCCGACACATAATTACAATGATTAGCCTAATAGAAAACATGGGCTGCTTTCCTTTATCTGGGGAATATTAACTGATCTCACTGAAGAATGACTCTAGAGCTTAATGTTTAACCCTGAGTTTTGGTAGGGGGTTTCCTTGCATGTTTTTACACTGCTCTATAATTATCTTGCCTTGCCTTTTCTGGGGGCCCTCACCCTACTCTGTCTAAACCCACAGTCCCTGTCTCACTAGGACATCATGCCCCTTATCTGGTATTTTTTCTCTTCCACTGCTCTGCCTAGCATGGAAATGTGGAATGAGTTTGCGTGATTTTGCCTCTGAATCTTGCTTTGGAAATACGCATTCCTAGGGTCTGAAATTCTAGAATTTTCATCCTGCTCTTGCTGGGATAATCCCCTCATGCTGGGGTTGATGCAGTGGGTTGACTTGGTGGCAGTAGAGCCGTGGCAGGGGACTCGGGCTGCAGTGTCACACTCGTCCCTGCAGAAGCACCTCTGGAGGCTGGGGGCCGTGTCCCCAGATTCCGAGCTGGAAGTCCCAGGAGAGCCTGGCTGACAGGTGTGCCCAGGGCTTTCCCAGGGTTTGCGGGGTGTCGCAGGAGGAGCCCGCGGGCCCTGTGACATGGGGTCACACAGGCCACTGGTCACCCTTAGTCCCCTTGAGCCACACTAAGAGGTGGGGAATGTGTCCCCGGGAGAACCTTCCCAAGGCCACGTGCCCTTCCTCCCACTGCTGACTGGGCCGTTGTCCCTGTGGCAGGTCCGCCTCATGTGCGCCGCTGTTCGCTGTTCCCTCCACGCAGGAAGCACGGCTCTGGGGCACCTGACGGAGGGAGCTCGCGAGGGGAGTGACATGCTCAGTGACATTCGGTGTAAGCCACTTCTTCCGTAAGATTTATAGGTTTTTCTCTAGATTATTTTCAGTTCTTTATACATAATTTGTTGGGTTTTCTCTAAATTTCACCGAGTTTTTATTTATTGGTGCAAATGGAATAGTCTGATAATGACTCTCCTAGATTTACCATTTCTATGCTGGTGTAATGAGTTAATCAGTATCTCACTGTATTTTAGAGGAAACAGCCCTTTGCTTGTACTTTACCAACTTCTCCACTTCTTTTTATAGCACCTATATTTTCTGAAAGATTTCAAAAGTATTGGAAATTGCTTCCTTTTGTGAACTTACAAAGACTGTAGGTCCCCGTCTTTCTTCCTCTCTGAAGGTCATTTCAGGTGCACCAGGCCCCTGCTGGCCCAGCTCCTGGTGCTGCCCTGTTCTCTGGCACTTATTTGTATTCACTTCTTCTCTCTGCAACCTGCTTTTGTTCTCTGGATGATGTTTATTAATGCTAATTGAATAATTTTTGGATAAGCGCACATGAAGTTTCTCTGTTTCACAATAGCAACTGCACATCTACTTATACACAGAGCATAGGAACACCCCCTGAACTCATGGATCTTGTTTTAAAAGTGTCGAATAACTTCTATCATGATGTATGTCGCTGGAGCGCACAGGTGGAACAGAGCTAGTGTTCCTGTCTTCAGTGTGGCCCCCCCAGTCGCTGCAGGAATGGAACCCACTTGCTCTCACCCCGGGTCTCCTCCTCCCCGGCCCCAGCGGTCGCCACATGACTGCTTCTATTTCTATGAACTTGACTGTTTTGAACACCTCATGGACGTGGACTCGGTCTCTCTTTTTGACTGGCTTACTTCACTTAACATGACATCCTCAAGGTTTATCCTTGTAGCAAATGACAGGATTTGTGTCTTTTTTAAGCCTTGGTAATATTTCCTTGTTTGTGTGTGTATACGCCCCACATTCTGTGTGTGCACCCGTCAGTGGACCGGGGCTGCTCCCACCTCGGCTAATGTAAGCGCGCTTCTGTGAACCTGGGGTCCGGAGTGCAGTGCCAAGCCGCAGCCACTTCTCTTGCCAGTGTGCCCAGAGGCACAGCTGTTGGGCCCCGTGCTGTTTCGCTCCATTCAGGCTCCTGTTGACTTGGTGCCGCAGATGGGCTGGCTTATTGACCACAGAAGTGTGTTCCTCACCGTCCAGAGGCTGGGCAGCTGCGATCAGGGGGCTGGAATTCAGGTCCTGAGGAGGACACTGCCGGGTTGCAGGGGCCCAGCTCCTGCTCGGGTCCTCTCATGGCCGATGGGGCCTGCCTAGCTCCCTGCTCGCCCTCACGCGGGGCTGACCCTGCCCATGAGGACTCTGTCCCCCCCACCTTGTTACATCCCAAGTCCCCCATTTGTATTCTAGAAGGTTTGCACATAACATGTTTTAGAGGGATGCCCATCTTCAGTCCATAGATCCTTGCCCCTGGTCCCCTGGTCCCCGAGGTTCCGTGTAGTACATGCTCAGTACATGCATTCCATCCGAGTATACCCTGCAGGGCAGCTCAGCCTGGCATCAACTCTACAGTCTAAATTCCAGTGTTCAATATAAGCACCATCTAAATCAGATAAAGGTGTGACTTGACAGAGGTTTCATCCTGTGGCAAAGTCCATTGACACTTTGAATTTGGAAAATAAACATTACCTGCTTTCTAAAACCCAGGGGTTGAAGAGGCAGAGGATCGTATTCCTGTTGGACGAGGGGGAAGCGGAGAAAAAGGATGTGTTGATGGCCCCAGGCAGGTCCGATGTGGTTAAGGAAGTCCATGAGGTTAAGGCTAGAGAACAGTCCTTTTTACTTCGTGTTCTGCCCTCCAGACCTGCTGGACAGCAGACCTGCTTCCGGACCCAGTGTGTCTGGGGTCCTGCCCCACCCTGGGTTCCCCTGGGCTGGGGTTGATGGCCCACAGTTCTTGGGGAGGCATCTGGCCTGTTGAGGGTGAGGCAGTGCCCTGCACTTTGAGGAGGCAGCCCTGATGACCTCTGACTTGCCTTTGGGGGTCATTCTTCATGTTGAAGAAGAGGGCGAGTTTGCAGCCAAGTAGCTCAATGGTCCTCTCCTGTAAAGTCCAACCTTTCTTTTCTCTCCCCTTTCCCTTCAGTTCCAACTGACAGTTTTCCTTCTGATGTAGCTTATTGAGGCCTGTAGTTCACACCCCTAGTGACCAAGCGGTACCTCGGCCCCCGCCTTAGTGCCCTCCTGCGCATGGGCCTCATGTTTCTGCAATACGCTAGGCTGAGGATTTCCAAATCTTGACATTGCTCTTTCTTCTCAACTTATTTCTCTCATCACGTTTAACCATCAGCAGTCAGGAGAAACCAGGCTGCTACTTAACCTCTTGGCTTAGAAGTCTCCTCGGCTAAATATGCCGTTTCATTGGTTGTGAGTTGTGTTGTTCAGAACTCTAGAACATGAACACCAGTCAGCCAAGTTCTTTGCCAGTGTATAGGAAGGCTTGCCTTTTCTACATTGTGCAATAAAATGCTTCTCATTTCCTTCTAAGACTTCATCAGAATGGATTTCACTGTATTACTACCACCATTTGATACGTGATTAGATATGTATTCTCTAACAAGAGGGAAGGTTTTTCTGCAGCTCTCTTCTTTCCACTCTCAGCCATCACCAAAATCACATTTAACTTTCTCTTCATGAGCCTCAGCTTAAAGCATGCACCGCAAAATGTCCAGTCTTTACCCATGACCCCATTAAAGCTGCTTCCAAAGCAGCACCCACTTCTTGGAACCAATTTATGTCTTAGTCATTCACACTGTTATAGCAAAATACCAAAAACTGGATGGCTTATGGCAGTTGTTACACTTGTTTCTCAGCATTCTGGAGATGGGAAATCCAAAACGGTGCCAGCAGGGTCAGAGAAGGATCCGCTTCTTGGCTGCAGCTGCTAACCACTCATATCTTATCATGGCAGAAAGTGGGCCTGTGCTCTGTCCCCTCGCTGTGATGGTGCTGCTGCCATCTGTGAAGACTTGATCCTCATGCCTCCTTAACTCCCAGATGGTCCCCCTCCAACTGGAGATTTGATTTCAACATGTGAATTTTCGGAAGATAGGCATGTACTTCCTTAATTGCATATGCAAATTCTATTTTTATTTTTCAAAGGAGAGCTCTACTGCTTTCCATTGTGGCTACATTTTACTTTCTTACCAAGATTAAAGAAGAATTCCTATTTTTTGACATCCTTGTCAGCATTTCTTTCCTGTTTTTTTTAAACAGTAACCATCCTCATAGGTGTGAAATGAGAGATCTGTTTGTGGCGATAGCAGGCAACATTGTCTTGTTCCTGATCTTAGAGAAAAGTTTTCAGTCTGTCACCCATGTAGTATGTTAGCTGAGCGCTCTTCATGTCTGGCTTTTGTTATTTTGTGGTATATTTTTTCTGTTCTTAATTGACTACATGTTCTCATCATGAATGAATGGCTGTTGAATTTTTCATAAATTGAAATGATCATGTGTGTTTTCCTTGTTCTATTAAAATGGAGTATTATGTGGAATGATTGTCATGTGTTGAACCATCTTTGCCTGCCAGGAATATATGCCTCTGTTCCTGGCGTACAGTCCTTTTAATGTGCAGCTGAGTAAGGTTTTCAGTTGTTTCATTTTTGATCTTTGCATCATTTATCAGGCGTATGCTGCGTGGTGTTCTTACAGTGCTCTTGTCTGTCTTTGGGAATAGAGAGCTTCTGGCCTCATGCATGATTTTGGATCTGTTCTTTCCTCTTCACTTTTTTACATGAGTTTGAGGAAGATTGGTGTTAATTCTTACGCTGGGTTGAATTCTACAGAGTAGCTATCTGGTTTTTCTTTGTTTAATGTTTTTTGATTAGTTATTCAGTCTCCTTAGAATTTGAACGGTCTATTTACATTTTTGATCTCTTCATGATTCAGTCTTGGTAGGTTGCGTTTTTGCAGAAATTTATCCATTTATTGTAGGTTAGCCGTTATTTATGCATAGACTTATTCAAAGTACTCTCACAGTCGTTTTGATAGTAAGATTATAATCAGTTGATTAGAATCCGTTTATTAAGTTACCGCTTTCATTGCTGATTTTAGTCATTGAGGTTTCTCTTGGGTTTTCTCATTAATCTTGCTATGTGTTGCTCAGTTGTCAGTCTTTTCAAGGTACCAGCACTTGATTTACTGGAAATTGTTAGAAACTTTTATACATTTTTTTTGTCTCACTGTTTTCTGGGGGTAGGCATTTGAGAGCTGCAGCTTTTGAGCTGGTTTTTATACATATATTCCCAAAGAATTTTTTGTTTGTGTATTATTGTTAATTTGGTGTCTCCATGGAGTACTGAGTGTCTCGAGTTTGCTCTTCTCTGTTTTCTTGATGGCCGTGTCTTTTTTATTAAAGAGATTGTGTTAAGAGATTGAGGGATATGAGTTTAAGTATTTAAAGAAGCCCAGCAAAAAAGGACACTATGTTTTTAACAACAAACAAGGGATCTACCCCTATAACGTTTATATATGAAATTTAAACTTCTTTTTAAAAACTTAAGTTGTGTAGTTCATGATGAAGTGAGATTCCTTTTTAAAGTCATTTGATTATATCCTTGAAATGCCCTGACTTTTTAAAATACCTCATGCTAGCTTTGTTTCCCAAATAAACTCTGCCCATCAAGCCAAGAGGTGATTATTCAGAGCCCGTCTCCCTACTTTGTTGTACTGGCAGCATGATTTTATTGTGTCTGAATGTGTATGTACAGAGTAAACTTATCCATCATTTCTTGGTGGGCATTTCCTGGTTTTTCTTCCTGAGTCCTGCTGTAAACATTGCCCATATCTCGCGGAATATCTCTGTATGTTTCTCTTGAATATATTCTTGAAAGTGGACCTCATGGGATAGTCATTTTGAAAAATTTCATAGCAAATGTTTTAATAGAGAAAATCTTTCTCTGTGCAACACCACACTCTGCACCTTTTTTAATCTGTTCAGTTTTTTCCCCATGCTTGTAGTGTAATTCCCAAAGTTAAAAATGGGATAGTATTCTGCTAGTTTTTAAAACAGTTCTTTCCTACGAAGGATAGTATTTTAGTTCCCTTGTATAATTACAAGAATTTTAGTTCCCTTGTATAATTACATTTCTACACATGTGTGAGCAGAAGCTCTGCTCCCCCATGCCCCTTGGCCCTCTGCTCCTCTCCTGCCCTGCCTCACTGCAGACCTTTCCTTTTCTTCACATGGTATCTTGATTTGGGCGGAATACATTGTTACACTGTGATTTCCAGACACAGTAAGTTTGTGCTCCTGAGCTCCCAGTTACCACAGCACTTCTTTTACCCTCTTTCCCCAACAGAGCACGAATCACAACATAAAAAATCTTCCCCTTTTTATCCACTGAACAGCTTTCTCCAAACACTATCTAATTTCATATATGCAGGGGTGATGTCTCAGTAACCATTCCCAGGAGCGATGGCTGAGTAGTTCTATTAGTGACTCAGCTCAACTCTTGTATTTCTTCCCTTCAAGTATTTCTTTCTAAACTGGTGGTATTTGTTGTAAGGTTTTGTAGGCTGTACTGCCTGGGTGGGCAGTCATTCTTAAGAATGTGTGTCAGTAGGTCCAGGATCAAACTGTGTTTTCCTCACAGTAGTATGTTTACTGCCAGTTGGCATGTGCTTTGTGGTCAGGGTGGAAAAAACACCATTTTAGAGCTAAAGTATTTGCATAGCATGAGTGTTTCTGTCACAGAGTACTTGATTCTAAGTTGTACAGTTGAATTATGTGTGAGCACTCTTTAGTGTGAAGCATCCTATCCTAGTGGTCCCCAAAATTTGAATATCAAATTTTGTTTGGGAAGTTTCAGAATCTGTTCAGTATATTACTTTTCATGTAATATTATACTTTCAGCATAAAATACCTGTTTTACAAACAAATTAATGGAATACCTATCATCCTTTAAATGTTACAGATATTTCTTCTACCCATGTGATCAAGAATTCACAACCAAAGGAGGATGGCAATACAAGAATATCCCAGACAGCGAGGCTGGGGAGACATGTAGGCCATGAAGTCAAAGATTTGCACTTTACGGAAATCCAAGAAAATCCTCACGACATTGAGTGTCACTGGGAAGATGAAGAAAGAAATCACAAAGGCATGCCTATAATACATAAAAATCATCTCCCTGTTAGAAGAGATCAACGTAGTAGATGGGATGAAGGAAAGACGCCTATTGACAATCCGCTTGCACTCAGCTGTCGCAATGAACTGTCTGTATTTCAAACTGAAGGGAAAATTCATGGCTGTAATAAAGTGAAGAAGTCTCTCAGCAGTATTCCCTCATTTTCTCCACTACAAAGAATCCCTCCTAGTGTCCAAAGCAACAATACTGAAAAATATGGCAGTGATGTTGTGCATCCTTCAAAAGAGACACAGGAGCAGTCAGCCCACGAGGGAGCAACTTACCAATGTCTCGACTGCGGCAGGACCTTTACCGAAGACGCACACCTGACTGGACATCAGGTGATCCATCCTGGAGAGAAACCATGTAAGTGTGGGTGTGGCAACGTCTTCAGTCAGAATTCAAATCTTGCAAGTAATAAGAGAATTCATACTGGTGAGAAACATTACAGATGTAATGAGTGTACCAAGAGCTTCCTTCAAAATTCATACCTTGTAAATCATAGAAGCCCTACTGGAGAGAAACATTACAAATGCAATGAGTGGAACAAAGTCTTTAGTGTGCCTTCAAACCTAATGGACCATCAGGTGAGCCATGCTGGAGAGAAAGCTTCCAGATGTAATGGATGCAAGGAAGCTTTTTCCCAAAGTTCCAAACTTGTAAAACATCAGAGAACTCATAGTGGGGAGAAACCACTCAGAAGTAATGAATGTAGTAAAGGTTTTATCCAAAGCTCAAGCCTTTCAAGCCTGGTTGACCATCAGACAAATCATACTGGAGAAGAAACAAACAAATGTAATGAGTATGGCAAATCTTTTATTGTGCATTCAGGTCTAACAAAACATCAGGTAATTCCTACTGGAAATAATCCATACCAACAGAATGAATGTGCTAACAGTTTTTTCAGGCATTCACACCTTAGGATTCCTGAGAGAATTCATGGAAAGAAACCTTTCAAATGTAGTGAGTGTGGCAAAGCCTTCACTCAAGCCTCACACCTCACTGCACATCAGATAACCCATACTGAAGAGAAACCATATAAATGTGACATATGTGGGAAAGCCTTCCGTAAAAATTCATACCTTAGAAATCATCGGAGAACTCATAGTGGGGAGAAACCATACAAATGTAAGGAGTGTGGCAGAGCCTTCAGTTGGAGATCGATCCTAACGAAGCATCAGGTGATCCATACTGGAGTGGGACCTTACAGATGTATCGAGTGTGGCAAAGTCTTCAGTCACTGCTCAAAACTTAAAATTCACAGTAGAATCCATACTGGAGAGAAACCTTTCAAATGTAATGAGTGTGGCAAAGCTTTTACACAAGGCTCGCACCTTACCAATCATCAGGTAACCCATAGTGCAGAGAGACGTTTCAAATGTGATGAATGTGGCAGAGCATTTAAATTGAGATCAGCCCTCACTAAGCATCAGAAAATCCATAATGAAGAGAGAGCTTACAAATGCCTCCAGTGTGGAAACGTTTTCAGTCGAAAGTCAAAACTTACAAGTCACATGAGAATACATACTGGAGAGAAATCATTCAAATGTAATGTTTGTGGCAAAGCCTTTGATATGAGATCAGCCCTAACTAAACATCAGCTAATCCTCATGAGAATACATACTGGAGAGAAATCATTCAAATGTAATGTTTGTGGCAAAGCCTTTGATATGAGATCAGCCCTAACTAAACATCAGCTAATCCATACTGGAGAGAGACCTTACAAATGTATCGAGTGTGGCAAAGGCTTCAATCACACCTCACAACTCAAAATTCACAGTAGAATCCATACTGGAGAGAAACCTTTCAAATGTAATGTTTGTGGGAAAGACTTTGGTGTGAGATCAACCCTAACTAAGCATCATCTGATCCATACTGGAGTGAGACCTTACAAATGTATGGAATGTGGCAAAGGCTTCAGTCAAAGCTCACAACTTAAAACTCACAGTAGAATTCATACCGGAGAGAAACCTTTCAAATGTAATGAGTGCGGCAAAGCCTTTACTCAAGGCTCACACCTTACCAATCATCAGATGTCCCATGCTAGAGAGAGACATTTCAGATGTAATGAGTGTGGCGTAGCCTTTCGCGTTAGATCAATGCTAATTAGCCATCAGGTAATCCATAGTGGAGAGACGCCATACAAATGTAATGAGTGTGGCAAAATCTTTAGTCATAACTCAAAACTTCAAAATCACAGGAAAATCCATACTGGGGAGAAGCCTTTCAAATGTAATGTGTGTGGTAAAGCCTTTGCTCAAGAGTCATACCTTACCAGTCATCAGACAACCCATACAGGTGAGAGACCTTACAAATGTCATGAGTGTGGCAGAGCCTTTAGTCTGAAATCAACCCTAACTAATCATCAGGTAATCCACACTGGAGAGAAACCTTACCAGTGTCATGAGTGTGGCAGAGCCTTTAGTTGGAGATCAGCCCTAAGTATACATCAGGTAATCCACACTGGAGAGAGACCGTACAAATGTAATGAGTGTGACAAAGCCTTTAGCTGGAGATCAACCCTAATTAGGCATCGGGGAATCCACACTGGAGAGAAACCTTACAACTGTGATGAGTGTGGCAGAGCCTTTAGGTTTAGATCAACCCTAACTATGCATCAGGTAATCCACACTGGAGAGAGACCTTACAAATGTAATGAGTGTGGCAGATCCTTTAGTTGGAGATCAACCCTAACTGTGCATAAGGTAATTCACACTGGAGACAAACCTTACAAATGCCCTGAGTGTGGCAGAGCCTTTAGTATGAGATCAGCCCTAACGATGCATAAGGTAATCCACACTGGAGAGAGACCGTACAAATGCCGTGTGTGTGGCAAAGCCTTTATTCAAGGCTCACACCTCGCCACACATCAGGCAGTCCATACTGGGGAGAGACCTTACAAATGCAATGAGTGTGGCAGAGTCTTCAGTCAGAAATCACACCTTGCATGTCACCAGAGGATTCACACTGGAGAGAAACCTTACAAGTGCCCTGAGTGTGGCAAAGCCTTTACTCAAAGCTCAAGCCTCACTGTGCATCGGGTACTCCATAGTCAAAAGAAACTTACAAGTGCCACTGAACCTGGCAAGTCTCTTAGTATTGCCTTGAAGTCAGGCTTCACCAAGTAGTTAATACGGGAATGTTCAGACTTACTGCTTGCTCTTCACTAGACAAAAGGTGCCAGCTGCTGATGCCTAGAGCACGATGCCTGCGCTCCCTCCCTGAGTGTGTGATTTGCTTCATTAAACTACCCTTTGCTTTTACCTGCTTGACTTGGTGGTGAATTCTTTCTCAAGAATCACAAACACTCCTGCAGGGTTGGTATATTACCTAGCATGCAGGGAGATCTCCCCAGATTGGATTGCCCAACTGTTTTTGTGACCAAGAATGGACTTTTAATGTGATACTTACTAGTGGTGTAGTCACATTAATCAATTGAGTAACATATCCTGGACAAAGAACAGCTGTGTGGAGCATAAACATACCAATATGTCACCCAAATGGATAATGTCGGGTTCAATGTGGTCACCTAGACCACCCTGTTCTTGAGAACTTCAAAGCAAATTATTAATCACCATATATACCATGTCTTATACCAACCCATATTCAAAAGGCCCTATAGAAAACCCAGGCCCTAAAATGTTTAAACACACCTCTCTCTCTGCGGTGGCCTGCATGTCTAAGCGTATGATGCCTTTAAACAACACCATCTTTCCTTGAAAAAAATACATGTCCTAGAGAGAAACCACAGAAATGTAATGCATGTTGCAAGGACTTGATCCAGTGTTCACAAGTTGGCGGACATACTGGAGCAATACCTTAAATGCAGTAAGTGAGGCAAAGCCCTTTGAGTTCAAGAACTATTCAGCAACACAGAAACCATATGAATTTATGTGGTAGAGGCTTTATGGAGGCAATGCTGCAATAGATGTCATACATGTTTGAGAAACCACAGAATACTGCTTGGTCAGGCTTTTCCCTAAAGATCAAAATGGGATCATCAGAGGGTTTATATTTTAGAGTAAACCTTGCAAATATAATGGATGGTGTAAGACTTTTCCTCAAATGTCCACACCTGTGGAGGAGTGGAACTACTTTTGAAGGACAGAAACTATACACACACTGATCGTGGAAAGGCTTTTAAGAGATAGTCAATTCATACTAGAGAGAATCCTTGGAAATATAAAGAATTTGGTAAACTTACCAGTTCTCACAACAGACCACACATCAGAGTCTGTAATAGGAAATAACTGTCTAGTTCTCCAAGACTAACGATGTAGTACATCCTGCAGAATAACTGTCAGGCAAAATGTGTTAGAAGTCATATGGTGTCTGTCAGGAATGAGGGCATATGTGGACACAGTCCATTATCTTTAGTATATCAAGTACTTGTTCTTGAGAAGGCTACGTTACTATTGATGACTTTCAACCTGACCTGAAGTTAATAGTGTGTGGATCTTAAGTGCTGATGTGTTGGCAAGACAGAAAAACTCTTGCAGGTGTTTTATATTGATTGCTGGGAAGGAGTCATAAGCTGAAAGGGTCCACTTCATTAGGTATGTTCCCTGGAAAATAAGGATACTGAATTTACAAATTCATTGTGTGAATCAGCTTTGAGTGAGATACAGAATAATATAAAACTATACATTGCCATGCTTATTATGTCCATGAACTTTCTGGAATAGCCATGTGAGAAAAGGTTATTGCAAAGAGAGTTGTACAAGGGAACAGAGCAGGCCGGGACATTAAGAACGGCTTGAACTGGACAGAGTGATAGGTAACTAGAGAGTGGTTATGTGGTAGAAATAATGCAGAGGAGACGGCCGTCACTTTCTGTGTTGAATGGCACTGTCTGTTCTGTATCAAGTGGTTAATGAAAACTTAAATGCTTTACCAGCAGAGCAGTCACTGGAGAGGAGAGTTCGTTTACAGATCCAGGGTAGTGTGTGCCTGTGTCTTTCTCACATTTAACTGCTGGTGTTACGTGGCTTCTGTTTTTGTTCTCTTATAGTCTCTTGCTTTCATTTGTAAAATTTGACTCATTTTTATAACTGTGAATGAGTCATGTTCTTTCTACCAACTCAGTTTTATCTCACTCTGGAGTAGTTCCTCCTAGAAACTTGACAATGCATTTTAGCTTCTTTGTTCAAGGAATCTGTCACAATTCATTTCCACTGTGGAATTACACATATGATTTGGGGGTCATGTACTCATAATTTTCACTTGAGTTATTTTCTTCACACTCTGCCTCAGGATATTGATTATATGGTTGAAAAGAGCACAGTTTTCTTTATGCTGAGTTACTACATTCCTTTTCCTGCTGCAGCTGTAGGTTCCATTCTAGTATGTGGGTGGTGAAAATGCTTGTAAAATAGTATTTAGATAAATTGCCTAAGATGTTTTTAGACCAGTTTAATGGCACCTAATGTTTGGAAAGGTTTATTAGATAATACATATTACTAAGCAACTTCATCAGAAGAGCATTTTTCCAAAGGATAAAATGATGTTATGGTAGCAAGTGAAGTTACATGAGTCATTTTTAACTAGTGAAAAGTTTTAGTACAATATGTCCTTACATTTCCCTTCCATACATTGTGACCTCGATGTTATGTTGAATGTACATATTTTTCCCTTTTTTACACCACAGGATACATTAACCATGGGATTGTATTGAGGCCTCTGGGTGACAGGAAAATGCAAAAACGGCAGTGGTGGGTATAAAGTAGAGCTTTATATACAAGGAGTAAGAGTTCCTTTAGGACTGGGGTCAACGAAAGACGCAGATGTCAGGGCGATGGGCTCTGGGCAGGTGCTTGGAAGTCATGTGTGTGAAGGCTGACAAGCATGCTCCGAAGCAAATCAAAGTGCCGGTAAGACAGTCCCCACGATTCCAACCCTAGCTGGTGACGAGCGGAGAGTCTCCATCGGCAAATGCTTGGGGGCCGTGCTGCCCTTTCCCGCTGAGTGGTCTTCATATTCAGAGCCAATCTTGCAGGGAAAAGGTTTTCTGCTATTAAATACCATGGCAGCCAACATGCAGTATGTTCCTTTCAGAGTTTGTTCCCTTCCAAAAATAGTAGGTTTCCCTTTCTTAAGTGATTTCAGTTTTGATGGTACATTGTCTTTTCTGTCATACTTGAAGTAAGAGTTGCTTAATTTATGTGGAATAACTGCTTGAGTCAACTGTGAGAAATAGAAATGACACACTCTTCTCCAGGTGAAGAAACTTAGGACAAAGACAGTTTCAAGAATCAGTCACGTCCCAGCAAGTGGCTGAATCGGAATTTGAGTCCATCCACCTTGTCTGCCTGCAATCCAAGTGCTGTATACAGCAGTAACAGTGTAACTTTGGGTCCCTGAACCTGATTGCACTGCGTGTAAGTGTGCTAGGGGGTCTCCCCACACATAACACCAAGCAATTCTCAAAAAACCAGCAGGATGTCAGAGAACTCAATTCTTGTTATCTGCCTGGAGAGAGAAGCAGATTCCCCAGGTGAAGGTCGCTGTCAAAGAAGACTGCCCTCTGTTCCCCACTGCAGACACAGGCTGCAAGCCCCAGGCAAGTTACCTGTGCTTTTGACCTACTGGCTACAGATTGGAGGTTCAGTTACCTCCTCCTTCGGTTCAGTTAATTTCCTAGGGCAGCTCAGAACTGGGGAAAACAAATTTGCCAGTTTCATAAAGGATACAAGTTAACGGCCAGATGAGATGTTACAGGGTAAGTTCTCAGATAATGGAGCGTCTGTTCTGGTAGAGCTTGGGGCCCGGCTCAGTGGTACATGGAGGCATTCCTATTCATGAAGTGTGGATGCTCATGACATGGAAGGAGGAGCCAATAGCTTGATTAACTTTTCTCAGGGCTTTTTGTGAGGCCTTCACTGCATAGTCGTCTTTGACTAAATTATTAGCCATTGGCTGATTTGAGCACCAACCCCTCCCCTTGGGCGGGGTCCAGAAGTCTCATTAACATGACAAGCACCTATTTCACCTTTAAGACTCAGCGTTTTCAGGAAGTGGACGAAGACCAAATATGCCTGAAAAATAATCTATGGTCACATGAATGACCAAATATGTATTTCGTATGATTATATTACCGTCCACTCCCAGTCTTCAAACGCAGATTTGTTCTGGCACATGATCATGCCCATCGCAGCACTCACATCTGGTATGGCGTTCACACAACAGAATGTTAGGACCAGTGCAAGTAGGCCTGACATTTGGAGAAGCCAGCGTTGGCTGGTGACAGATATTTTAAAGAGACAAGTCATTTCTTCTATAAAGTCTTATGAGCCCAGGTTCTCCCATAAAGATGTAAAGCCCACCCATATTTAATTACCTGGTGTGGCCAGTGAAAAAGCCAGATGGCTCCTGGCATATGACTGTGGATTATAGAGAATTGAATAGTCACTCCCCCTTTGCATGATGCTGTCCTCTGAATAGCAGCCCTTATGGACACCCTCAGTCATGAACTAGGGACGTATCACGTTATAGACATTGCTAATGCCTTGTTTTCTACAGCACAGGAAAGTCAGGAACAGTTTGCCTTTACGCAGGAATGCCGGCAGTGGACATTCACTGTCTTTCCACGGGGATACCTCCACAGTCCCACCATTTGTCACAGACTTGTAGCCCAGGACTTGGCCACATGAAAGAACCCACAAACGGTGTGGTGGCTGTATCACTACATTGATGAGATGCTCACATCTGATTCTCTTACACACTTACAAGGGGCAGTTCCTAGACTGCTGCAGCGTCTACAGGAGAAAGGATGGGCTGTGACCAGCACCCAGGTTCAGGGACCTGGTTTTTCTGTAAAGTTGCTGGGGGTTGTCTGCTCAGGTAAAACTAAAGTTATTCTAGAAGCAGTCATAGACAAGGTCCAGGCTTTCTCTACTACCTCTGTGTTAGTATTACAAGAGGTTTTAAGTCTTTGGGGCTACTGGAGAGTGTTATTTCACACTTGGCACAAATTCTGAAGTCCTTATACCGTTTAGTACGAAAGGGCATCAGGTGGGGCTGGGATGCAACATGCAGCTGCTTCTGCTGCTAAGCGAGTAGTCAAGGCCATGCAGGCCTCGCGTGTAATGGGCTCAATGCCCTGTGAGCCGGATGCTCATGTAACTGGAGATGGGTATGGTTAGGGACTCTGGCAGTGCCTTGAACAGACACACCAACATATTGGATTCTGGTCTCAGCTCTGGAAAGGAGCAGAGGTCCAGTATATCTTGATAGAAAAGCAACTGGCTACCGTGTGCCATGCCTT